GTTTATAATTGGATGATTAGCACATTAATTTGTGTCAATTATTAATACAACAATTATATATATATATATATATATATATATATAAGATGAATAACATATCATATCACCAAATATAATCATATCACGAAACATAATCGTACCACCAAATATAATCATGCTTTTCTTGAACACATCACCAAACATTTGCATATTTATTCATACCATCCTTTAAAAAATATATTTTTTTATACTTATTATTTTTAAAAATTATTTCTTAAAACGTATTACGGTCTAATTATGTAATAACCTCAAAAATAATACTTGATTTTATTATTTTTGTGGAAAATCTTATTAAGTTGTGTGACTTTATTGGGTGTTTTATGAATTTGGTTTGATGTGAAAATATTGGACTTAAGTGAGTTTAATCTCAAATTTGGGCTAAAATGCCCTTATGATTAAGTTTATAATTTTTTTCAATTGAAGTAGGCCCGTTTCAGCCCGGCCCGTTGGGCTTAGCCTGACTCGGCCCGATGGGCTTTCTCAAGCCCGGCCCATGGGTCGAGCTTGGGCTTTGAATTTTCTAAAAAAACTCGGTCCGGCTCATTGACGAGCCCTATAATTAGGTAACGTGAATTACACTAGGAAATCAAGAATCACGGGATCCTTGAATCATTTCTCACACCAACAAGATGATTCTTGTACAAGTTCCCTTGATAGTAGCTTCTAACATTTTGGTTAACTTAAGAATTGTTTGTATGCATTCGCTCCTCCTTAAGAATTGTCTCGTAACACCATTGATTTCTATCAAATTCGTTTCGGAGAAATATGTGTAGTTCTAGAGTTCGATTCTCTTTTATTGTAAAAAATAAAAAAAATAAAAGGGTCTCTAACCAAGAGATTAAATCTATTTCTCCCTACACTCATACCGAAACTTCAAGGTTTTTTTTTAAAACACTTATTTTCTGTTTTATTCTTTTATTCAAAATTTATTGAAATCGAAGATGATAGTTTCTAGCTATTGGATGGAAACAAAGGAGGCAAAGTAATCACAGCTGGATGGAAACAAACAATAGAGGTGATTAAGCTTGACAAGCAATTTCTAGTCACAACTGGCAATTTAAAACATGCCCTTTGTCTCTGTCAAGACTGTTAGGTTCTCAAAAACAGTAGGGATTAAAAAAAACAACTATGCTATGTGGGAGCAAATAATTTGACTTTCAATCACTAGACACCACGTGGATAAAAAGAATATCTCTTAGGTCAATTAATTGAGTCCATTTAATTTGACAAATTAATTGATACTAAAAATAGGGATATTATCTTTATTTAAAAAGATAATATCACCAATTAAGATATTATCCTAATTTGGAGATATCATAATCAATTAGTGATTTGATCCCAATCAAATCTTTAATTGACTCAATTTCTACAATTTGGGGAAATAATATCTTCCTTCCAAATAAGAAGATATTCTTTGAAAAACCCTAGATGACTAAAGCCCTATAAATACATGGCTACATTCAACACACAAGGTAATTCGAAATCCAATTTCTACCCGAAAAATCCTACACACTCTCTCTCTCCGGCCACCACATACGGCTCCGACCACCAACACCCCTAGATGTGGTCTTTTACTTCAGTTTAATTTTACGAGGACGAACGATCTTCAAGCTGATATTCTCCGGTGAGAATATTTGCACAAACATGCTCCATTTAGAACAGGAACAAATACAATCCCATAACCAGGAGTCAAATAGAGTTCACAGAAATAATAAGAAGAAAAAAAAAGTTCCACATTTATTATCAGTAAAGTAGAAGCAATATGAGGAAGCCAAGCTAGGCTGCATGTGCCATAGTATCAAATGTTTTTCTCCTAACCAAGAGACAAGTGATGCTGGATGGCTGGGTGTGTGTATTGTTAAGGGTGCATAGAACAAAATCAGGGCGGTACAGAGCAAGCGTCAACCGATCCTCCCCCAAAACCAAACCTGTTGCATCAAGCAAAACATGCCATGAGTTTCTGTGTGCTTCTGAGATCCAATGCATGGAGTATTTAGTCCCATTCACAGTGGCTGGATAGGAAAACAGTCCCTTTGGACTGTGCTTGCACTTTCTTCTGAAGTGCTGGCTAAGTTGTGATCCTTTGATCCTCAAATCCAACCAAGTTTCTGGTGCTGATATGATCCTTGATTCTTTGTTGGAGGCAAATTCCCTTATGGCATCAGTCTCTTCACTGACAATGGTCATATAGTAATTTCCTCTGAAGAAAGGGTAACTCTCACCAATCATCACCATAGCATCTTTGTAATTGGCCATGAACAGGACTAAATAGTCCTCCTCTTGCAACCCACATTGCTTCAAGGCTCTGTTGCTAGCTTGGACCTCAGGAATGGAGACAAAATTGCCTTGGAATGAAGATTTCTTGGTCAGGATATCAAGCAGTCTTGAAGGCTCCATTTGGGTCCTGTCAAGATCAGAGTGAGTGGTGCTAAATGGGGAAAGCTCTTTTGGTGTCATACTCTTGGGTGACTTGAGCTTATTTTGGGGTGTTGTTGCTGAAGATTCTTCATTGATGGAAAGATTATCAATTTCTAGTTTTTCCACCTCTTCCACTAGACCATTGCAGTATTGTGGGTACTTTGCAAAGATGTATTGCTGAACATAAAGCATCTCACTTGGTGTTATTGGACCTGACCATCTTAGATCAAGGCCTCTGAGTGAGGATATGGCTTCTGCTATCAAGTGAGCAGGAAACATAGTATGTGCCTTCTGTAAATCAAACAAGTTTTAACAGAAAACTAAATCAATATGAAAATTTGGTGGAAACCCATCAAAGATATTGTACCAATTAGTCTTAGAACTGGAATAACTGACCTTGATCACCATGCTGCTTGGCCTTCCATCTTTCTTTGGACTTCCATCTTGAGTTGGTGATTTTGGTAAAGAACCAGAAGCCAGTTCTTGGATTTCACCATTTACTATATCCTAAACAGTAGCAAAGTGGAAATTTACAGATCAAAAATTTCAGCAGTAAATTTAAAGTAAGTTACAGAGGAAACTTTTTCTTTCTGGGATCACAAACAGAAGATCATGTACCTTAAGTTTGCCATTCATGATGTCCTTTTCTTGTATGTTTCTGCCCATGCTGCCTCTTGGCCTTCCTTTGAAACCAGAAGGACTAAACTAGGGCCCAATATACTGCAAACCACAACTAGCAAAGAAATCAGAAGCAAGAGAAAAAGCAAGAGGGCAGAGGAAATAGAAATTGAGAACCGCAAGGGTAGTTGTGAAGACAAGTCTTTGTTATATGCACATTATATGCTGCAGGTTTGGGATCAAATTGAATATTAAAGTAAACCATATATATTCAAGACAAAGAGAGAAATGCCACCAAGTGATGAAAGCAACACCCACACACAACAATGGTATAATTTATTGGATTATAATCACCATGGTTAGCTCAGCATACTGTAATTATTATGGTTAAATTACACACACATGTCTAGAACTCCATGAAGATTCAAAATTTACTCCTTTCAGGGAAACAAAAAGTCCAGTTTTTTCAGTCAAACTAGAATTAACAAAGCAGGCATCTAATTGATGGTTGGGGTTTTGGATTTTAAACTTGTCTGTCAGTGAAAAACTGACCTTTAAAGATTTGGATTCACCGAAATGCCTGCGTGACTGCGTCTATCAATCTGAGTTGCAGCAAATAAAGATGATAAAAAGTTGGAGACTGCGAAATGGCAACAACCAGCGTATATATTATTATTTTAAAAAAGAAAAAGATGCTGCCATGCCATGTCTTAGGTCATCAAGGGTTTATTATATATGGAGAAGATGGTGACTTATGGAGGACTTGCATGCATTCAGACATACATAATGCTATCGAGGTGAGGGAGTTGGAATCTTTTCAAACTGATAGGGACTGGTTTTGAACAAAAAATAAACAAATGTTAAGGTGGGATTTGTGAAATAAGATTATGTGAGGGCCTTTGAATATTTCACACGTAGAGGGCAAGTAGTCTTAGGGTTTGTTTTCTTTTATGGGGAGGAGGAGGGGCGGGAAATCATGTGACAGTTTTCCAAAGCAAGGATTAGTTTATATGTCTAATGATGTGGGTTTAAGTATGATTATCAGTATAATGCTTTAATTTATTCCAAACCACTGTTAAGAAAAATTAAAAATAAAATGTCCCCAACGTCCACATCCAAGAACCATTACAAGCATATGCTTCATTCTGTAAATTAGTTGATCGTTTTAAGAACGGTAACCGTGTTCGATTAGTTTGATAATCATAATTATTCAAGTAAAAGTTTATGTATAATCCATGCCATTTCTCCGTTCAGCCTACTTTTGAAGCAAAGGCTTCATATGTTTGCATTAACCTAATTGGAGTTTTGCTCAAATGGGATGTCGGCAGCATCTCTAACTAAAACATTATTGCCCCCATGAATATGATTTTCTTTTTTTGGACAGACGTGATGAGCATGACGAAATAATGGTCTGCCTTGCATTATTGAGATTTTCTCAAATGGCATCTCAGAAGCATTTATAAGTAAAACATTAGCACTTGATTAGTAACTAAACCAGATGCTTGTATCCAAGACTTGTCTTAGCTGCTTCTCTTAAAACATAAACCCCTTTCAAAGCAAGGTTAACCTAAGATTACGATCCTCGATCCATTTAAGTTGGAGCAAAGTCATAGTTATGTGGACATTAGGGAACATACAAGCGGCAAACCAGATTTCCTAAACAAATATCATAGAACAGAAAATTACGACTAAAATTGACTCACATCTGTAGACTTCTGAAACCAACATTTAAAGAAGAAATGCCCCCTAGAGTTTAAAGATTCTATAATTAGAAGACACCTAAAATGTTCTGCGAGGGTCCCTAATAGCCAGCAAAAGAAGGTTATTGTAATTTTTTTTTTTTGGCCATGAAACAATCAATCACTTTAATGCCTGCTTAGTTACTAGCCCATGCTAACAAACCCAAAAGCATTTGTAACTCGGCCTTCCATAAAAATCAGTAACATATTATAATAAAAGCATAAAATTGACATTAGAATAATACAGACTGATAAATGCCTGCCTACTTTCTGAATTATACCTAAAACATTCCGAGCAAGCAGATGGATAGACTTTGAACCAGCATTGCCACAGACTGCTCAGCCCATTAACATCATGAATTAGCCGAAATCCAAAAGAGCACAAACCAGACTAAATTGGATGGCAACAGTGGGACTCTGGCTCTAGAAAATTGGCACTCTGTACAAAAGTACAAACAAAATGGGAGTATCAAGCTACAAAAAGTATTTCATCCGATCATCTCTTCTCATGGCGTTGTACACAGCTTGGACCTGGAAGTCACAACAAAACTCCATGTTAACAAATATTTTCTTCCAGTGTCACTGGATTGAAAAACATATTGTAAATTTTACCATCAACTACACGGAGATTTTTTCCATCATAGTTATAGGGAAATAATATTAGCAAATTCATTGTGGGAGAGTGCGAGGAGGGGAGAGGATGACCTGTTCACTAGAAATGACTTGAACAGGTCCAATGTTTACAGATACATATTTGCCCCTTGATGATACCTTCTGCCTCACATGACCCTGTCATAAAGCACAATAACAAATAGCAAACTCCATCAAACTTTTGCATTATTATTTGTGAGTTAATTGAACTCATAGACTTGAAAGATTAGACGTCTTCAGCAAATATATCAACAATCACAATTTCAAAAATGATTATAATTCAAAAGGGGCAACAAGAAAGATGGAAGCACAAAGATTGCCGTTAGATGTTGCATCATCCTGCCACTTTCTACAGCAGCCTTTGGGAGTAAATGAAATCATCATATGGTAGGTCTAGATTTAAAACAAATATCAACTCTTGATTACTACTGGAATCATGATTCATGACCAAGCCCAGAAGCAAAGATTCCCAGTACTTAGTGTTCAATGTCAAAAAAGTTTCTTAGATCGAAAATTATGTTAACAGTGAAAATACCCGTATGATGGGGCATTACAGCAAAGACAATAATTTGGCATTAATTGAACTCAATTTGCCGCTTTCAAATTAGGCTCAACAGTCTAAACTTCAAAGTGCATTCCCATAGGTCAGCATTTTGCTGTAGCCTAGAGTAGCTATTCCTGTTTCTGAATCATATTCAACCAGTGGGAACACTGAACTATGGTCAAATTCAACTATTAGTCGTTTCCATATGGTTGGTTCCATGCAACCCTAATAAGTTCACATCATGAGCCAATTTCCGTTATTAGCACCAAGGACAAGACCTAAACCCCATTTTTCTGGCCAAAAGTGCTATCCACCTCACTTAATACTTAATAGAGCATTGGCAAGTATCTACCACACTCAATATAGAAGTTCACTAGGTCCTTTTATCGCATATGCAGCCTACCCAACTCCTTGCAGTGCCAATTCAAATTCAAACCTAGAATTGGTTGAAGATTTTTCTTACACATTTCATGCTCTTATGCACCTTCTCACTCCTCTTCAGGAGGTTTGAACTTGCAGGATACTTCTGAGTGGCAACTCCATAAACCATTAGTTTTCCTTCATAATTACTGGTCAAAGCTACTCCTAATTTCATAACTGCTTCACATGTTTAGGATACCCTATTCCTCAGCCTATCCATCTATATCTCAAATATTTTGTCCCCAGCCAACAGTGCTACCTACTTTGGTTGGAAACATAATGTGTTGTACAAGAACAAAGGGCAGGAGGGCCATGGTAGAAGACATCACTATGAAGATCTCCCCTTGCCCCCAATGAATAACAAATTATCTTAAACCTACTACTATGTAATTTCAAGGACTTACACAGAGGTTTAAGAAACAACTCAAACGCACCACAATTTTGCTTATAAGGTATGAATTTAACATTGTAATGATTTGTCCCTACATACTTGAGAATTCAACCCTGAAATTAAATGGCGGTTGCCAATTTCTGTTCACCTCCTATTAAACTACTCTGCGTTCGTGAGCATCATCAACACATTCAATGAAATTCTATCTACAAAAATTCGACCTAGAATGAAAACAAAGCCCACACAAGAGTACGGGATTTGATGGTATGCTTTTGGCAAGGCTCAGCCACTGATCAATATGAAGCAAAACAGATCACGTAAAACATAATGCTTGCAAAAAAAATGCACTGGACCAATTCATAAATATATTTATTTATGAAGAAATTGAAAATGATGGGCAGCCACAACAAGGGATGTACACACACATTGTATGTAAGTATGTATACCTCAGGAACAGGTTGTTGAATTACGGATTCGACAGCAACAACCATAGCTTGCACAAAATCATCCCCTCCAGTTCCAATCGCTGTAAACCCTCTAACAGTTGGGTACGAATTTACCTTTAAAATACAAAATTTACATCATTTATAAACACAAGCTCGTCAAAAATATTAAATAACTTAATCCTTAACGTTAAAAATATAAAATGGGCTGTTAAATCAAACCTAAGGAAAGCAAAACAAATAAATGGCTTTATATTATACCTTCTGATCCAAGGCGAGCCATTCATTCGTAGAATCATCTGTCACCGTACCTCCAATCACCACATTCGTGGTTTGCCCAACTCTCCCTTCCGTTTTAGACACCTCTATATCCAATACCAATAACGAGTGAAAAAATATTATAAAAAATAAAAAATTTAAACAAAAAAGTTTCAGAGACGAAACCTGAAATTGCTTTCAAAACGGCCTCTTGGGGCGGGCCTTGTTCGTCCTCAGACAAAGACGACGCGTTTTCGTTGTGGGAGCAGTTGAGGTGAGTCCGTTTGGCGAAGTGGAAACCCCGGGTCCTGAACTGCCCACTCAGCCTGGGAGAGGGGAACCCGCGGGTCCTGAATGAAGCGGAGGCGGAGCTCCGAGTGAGATGAACGGGTCGACACGCTTCTATTAACAGAGCGGAACGCAACGCAGTCCTGCACGCCATTTCTGGTCCCTCTTTCTTGATTCCGAGAAGAAGTTTATGTTTCTTTTTCTTCTGTCCTCGACTCTCCTTTCTCTAAATTCGTTTCTTTTCTTCCCAAAAGATAAATACAGGAGATTTTTTTAATTATAAGGACAAAAGTACCCTTTTTCAGTGCCATTAGTCAGGCGCGTCAGTAAGGACTTAATCGTCTTTTAGGTGGAAATTGGTATTTGGACTTTGGAGCGCTAATTTCACTTCCCACCATATTCGGTTTACCGTTTACGAGGGAGAAAACCTTTTATGGGGTTTTTAGGCAATTTGACTCCTTCAAACATAATTTCATTTTACTTGAGGGAGCAGTATTCCATCATATTTCAAGTAAAACATTTTCATCTGGTTATTAATTACAACTCTCTCCAAATATAAAATAAGAGAACTACACATGTAAAATAAAATATAACGAAATGAATATATAAGTAAGTGATTGGTCGAGTTCAATTTAGGTTGATTTTCAAATGCTCAAAATCATGGTCGAACCAAAATTATTACGATACGGTTTGATTTGAAATTGTTTGACCATTTTTATGGTCAAAATCAAATCAAACTGATCATTATTAGGATAAAGCAATTTTATTAATTTCGGTCGGATTGACACCCACTCTTACTTTTATAAGTCACAAAAAGATATTGCATAAAACTTTTTTTTTTTTTTAGGGGAACTTTTTCTTTTGTTTTTACAAAAGAATTGTGTAGTGTACCAAAAATAATAGACTTATGTTGGCATTGGGATTTTGTATAATTTGGCGGTAAGATATAGTTTTGTTACAAAAGTAAATTATTTGTAGACTAAATTACAGAGAAAATTATTGCCGCGAAAGGGCAAAAGAGGAAAAAGAAAACCATTGCGGCGACGCGAAACCCAGAAGTGCGAGCCCAGCCCCCACCTCAGCTGTGAAATGAAAACGCGCGATAAAACCCTAGTGAAACCCCTCCGATAATTACGTCACTGTCTTTCGGGACTCGGAGTTAACTGACCGGCCGAGGCGACTCGCTGAAATGTACGGATCCGAATCTGGTACAGCCCCGGAGGATTTGGAACGAACCGCTTTCAGAAGAGCGGAGAAGAAGTACAAGCTGTATTACGAAGACACCTACAAATCATCCAAAAAGTAAAAACTTGTTCTTCGTTTTCCCAACTATTCCACGATTTTCGCTTCCAATTTCTGCTGTTAACCAAACATGCAATTTGACCATCTCTCAGGAAACGGAAACCCAAACCCGTGGATTTATCAGAGGTATTGGATTTCAATTCCATTCTAGAATCGTACTATCAAAACGTTGAGCTTCCACAGGGCGTCGTTCCTCTTCGATGTGGTTTCGATAGGCCCGTGTTCTCCTTAGAAAATCGCCCAGGTATCAACCTATTCTCATTGTAATTCAAATATTTGAATTTGAAGATCCTAGGGTTTTGAATTGGAATATTAGTTACTGTTGTTATTGTTTGTTTTCTTTGTTGATTGCAGAATATGTTAGTTTATACAAATATTTCCTTTTTTTTTTACACAACACAGGTTTTTATTTCATTCCTGGAGCACTGAGTGTGAAGGAACAATGCCAGTGGATAAAGGAGAGTTTAACCAGCTTCCCGCAGCCTCCTAACAGAACAAATCACAACGCATTTTACGGGCCTATAAATGACTTGTTTATTGCGGCAAATGAGAGGAAAGTTTTGGTTGCGGATGGGGGTTCAAATTCTGAATGTGATCCTTCTGTCAGCAATGGAGATGTTCACGGTTGGAAGTTCTTTGAAGAACATGAAGTGTCTTCGAAAGGGAGCACGTGCAAATCAGTTTCAGCTTCAGTTCTATTGCGGAAATTGCGTTGGAGCACCCTTGGCCTGCAATTTGACTGGTCTAAGGTTGTGCTGAGCTGATTCATTTTTCCAATTTTGAAAGCATATTAAGCAGTTTCACTAAATAAAAATTGCGTTGTCACTTAGATATTAACTGATTTGGGTGGGGAAACAATTTAAGGTTGCTCCACTGACATTACATTGAATGTATTTTCTTGTGCATTTGAGTGTTTTCTTCAATAAACAGAAAATATCATTTCCATGCATTAAAGTTACGTCACAACATGTATCTAACTAATGTCATGTTCACGATGTAGCGAAACTATGATGTCTCTCTCCCGCATAAGAAGATCCCTGATACACTCTGCCAACTGGCTAAAAGACTGGCAACACCTGCAATGCCTCTGGGTGAAGAATTCCAGCCTGAAGGTGCAATAGTGAACTACTTTGGCCCAGGTATTACTAAGAAAAAATTGCTTATATTAGCAGATTTTTAACCATCGGTTTATTTGTATTTCCTTTTTTGGTTTGAAAGTGTATACAAGTTAGAATTTACATTTGTTCTGTGTTCTGTTCTTTTGTTTAGGTGATATGCTTGGGGGCCACCTTGATGACATGGAAGCTGATTGGAGTAAGCCTATTGTAAGCATGAGGTATCTTGCCATGCCATTTCATTTTTGTTTTTTGATTCTGGTTGTTTGTCAAGAAAGAAGAATAGAAATTTGAGATTATACATCTCCTTGGGAGCTGAAATATCTTTCACTTCCCTCAGTTTAGGCTGCAAAGCAATATTCCTTTTGGGAGGAAAGCATAGGGAAGATCCTCCAATAGCAATGTTCCTTCGAAGCGGTGATGTTGTACTTATGGCAGGGGAAGCAAGGGAATGCTTTCATGGTAAGTGCAAATCTTCAGCTATCTTTCTTTTACTTGGTTTTGAGTGCCTAAGATAATAAATCGGTACTTAATGGCTAATCTCTATGTTTTTCCAATCGCGTAAATCGTCAGTGAAATGGTAAGACCAATCTACAAGTGAGAAAAGTGATGCTGGCAATTTTAGTTTGGTTTCTAATTTTTGCTTTGGCATATCTGTTGCTTGGGCTGCCTTTATGTCAAACTAACAGTGTTACTTTGCGCCTCAACTTAAGTAACTCTACTCAGCCTTAATCCCATGTGCTTTCTTCTGATAAATAGAGTAGTTTGACTTTTCCATGTTGCCAGAAACATGTTGTAATTGCATGCTATATCATAATTAATTCCTAGAGTCTTGTTTGAACAGCCTCATAAATAGCTCAGCTTTGCTTTCCCGAATTGCAGGTGTGCCTCGGATATTCACAGATGGAGAAAATAATGAAATTGTGACTCTTGAGAGGCAGTTCTCACAGGAGGATGATTTTAGTGTTTTAGAATACATCCGAAGTTCAAGAATCAACATCAACATCAGACAAGTATACTGAGATTGATTTTCTTTTTCATCGAAATTTTGGATTCATTCGGAAGGATTTTTTGGCAATAAAGAGTTGTTAGAGAATTGCTACACAAGGACATGTGGGAGAGCTGTGTAGTAACTACAATGGTACCGCACCCATGAATGTGCGCCTTGTTACAAGTTGGATGCAGCAACAAAAATCAAAAAACCATAAGAAAAGAAATAAGAATGCAAGTAGCATTGATTGTCCTAGAAGAACAGGGCAATGCAATTATGCAAGTAGCATTGGTTAGATAGCCTGTGATTTTGTTGAGGAATTGAATCTATCTAGCGGCAATAGATTTTCTTGATAGTCTGATTTAACCGGGGATTATATTTTTGTAAAATTCATAGCTGAAGCCCCTGCGGTGCAACTTTGTAGTTTTCTCGGATATCAACTTTGTAGTCTATTTCCAGGCTAAAGGAAAAAATTGTAGTTTCGTTTTGGGATATGAGTAGTTAAATGGATGCTTTGGCGGCGGTTAATTATCTTTTAAATAGCAAATTGTATTTAAATTTACATCATTCTCCCTTTGCGTGAGAAGAGAAACTAGTTAAACTGAGACAGCCCCTAAACAGAGTTCCAGGACTTAAGTATCAATCGTAGAGAGGAGAGAGAACCATGGCAGGCAGAGGAAAATTCGACCCCCCAAAAAAAAAAAAGCAGAGAAAAAAAATGCTTTGTGTTGAGAGTGGGATTTGAACCCACGCCCTTTCGGACCAGAACCTTAATCTGGCGCCTTAGACCAACTCGGCCATCTCAACTTGTTGTTAAGTTTCACAATTTGTTAATAAATAATTCTAATCGGTCGCACACTGGGCAAATGCACGGACCTTTGAGGCTATTATTAGTAGTTGGGCCCGAGACTGTTGTGGTTTCCAATAGAATACCAAAAACTAACAAGTGAGAGCACTTGGGCGGCGCTGCAAATTTGTCTTCGCTAGGAGATCAGTCGGTGGACTTGGTACTGAAAGATTAATATATAAAAATAGTTGACTTTGACCGCTTCAAAGAGAGTTTTCAATAACTTCAAAATTATATACCAATGAGGTTTACTCCAAATTAGAAAAATTGTATCTTGGATTAACTTATAGTTGTATGATTTTCACTCCACTAAACTTGTGTCCTTCTTCAAACATCAAACTCAACCTCTTACTTACTTCTAAAACTAGGTATAAAACTTGAAAGACTTAGTTTATTTACATTAATATTAATCATTTATAAAAGTGAGATCTTGTGTCAAACATTCATTAATAAGACTTTTTTTAAATAAAAAATAAAAAATAAATAAAAAGAGAATATTCTTTGTGCGTTATCCACTTCAAAGATATCACCCACAAGCCACAAACATGCTACATGTGACAAGAAATCAAATAGTAACAAGCAAGCATAGTAGAAGTAGCGTAGAAGCAAGAAAAATCAAAATAAAAAACCAACACGTCCGCAAAATTCCAAAATCCCCAGCCCCCTTTAAAATTCCAACCCAACACACACACGCGTCTACGTGTTCAACTTCAAGCCCATAACCATTTATATTTCTCAGAAATTCACAATAAAACCCACCAACAAAAAATATTAAAAAATCCTCCTACTCTCTACCCCTTTCGCTTCTTTTCTTCCCTCTCTCTGCTCTCTCCTCGCTCCTTATCAACAATGGGTGGTCCGATTGTGTTGACCCAGCTGGCTACGGGTCTCGGCGTCTTGGCCGGGGCGGTCCTCGTCAAATCGTTCATGGACCAGAAGCCCATGGCCGGCCCGTTTCCCAGGTGCCCCAGTTGCAATGGCACGGGTCGGGTCTCCTGCTTCTGCTCGCGCTGGTCCGATGGCGATGTAGGGTGCCGGAGCTGTGCCGGGTCCGGTCGCACGTTCTGCAGAAGCTGTGGTGGTTCGGGTACAGGTCGACCCCTTCCGGTTCAAATATCCGTACGGCCTCCCACCCCTCCCTCGTAGTCGGTGTTTCCGGTTTTGCTTGTTATTAGAAAGTTATAGCATATCTCTCCTTCCTCTCAATTTTTTTTTCCAAAAAAATTGAAAATTGAAAAAATTACATCCTGTATTATAGTAAGCTGCTGATACTTTGAGAGAAGGAGAGAGAGGAGGTGAGAGAGAGTTCATCATTAGGCTGTAATGAGGTGACTTTCCTAATATCCTGATGAAATGGAATATATTTTTTATAACTAAATTTGTCTGCTTATTGACAAATTTCTTACTTTTAATTGTAATTTGTTTGTAAATTGTATTGGGTTCATAATATTTCTTAGTTTATTAAGTGTATGATTAGTAGTTGCTTTAATCTTTGCTTGTTGCCGCCAAGTAGTTTGTGTTTTTTTTTTAAATACCAGAAATTTGCTTGTTTGTTGCTCAATTTAACTCAAGCAGCAAACCTTTGTACAAAGCAAATACTTAGAAATTGAAATCACCAACCGGTATAGCGTGGTGGAAAAGGGTCTTGACTTGCAGACCGTCCGTTAAATCATACGTTTAATTAATCCATGAATCTGGTGTTGAAGTTTTAGGATTTTATGTTCAAACAGTTCATCTCTTTCATTTGGAATTCATGTAACTTAATAAAGATTAGTCTTTAAAATTGTAAATGGCAATGGATAAGTAGTTTACCCTTTTTCATTGTCTTGCAATCCAACTATTATCTACTTGGCTTCCATTAACTTAAGCTTCATAAAAGCTGATTGCTTTAACATGCAAATGATAAGGTAGTTTTTTTTTTTTTTTTTTCCCTCTGTTTTGTCCTTTTGTTTTCAACTTGGAGAATGATAAATTATATTCTGAATGCTGTTTGAATATAACATGCAATATCATATGATAAAATATGTGAACGCCTTCATCACAACTTCCTAATTAAATTATTTTTTGGAGCTTAGTCAGCTGGAATCCAAGTGGATGATCAAGTGACCTTACAACTCTCATATAAAAGAGAAAAAGATTTGGTCAAAACATTAGAAAAATATGAAAGCTACTTTGATAAGAACACCAGTTTATAAAGTAAGATTGCTCTCTGTTTTTACGCAAGCGAGGATTTGGGCCTTTTGATGTTTATTCATGTTTGGGATTTTTCTCTGTTTTCCATGTTTTAAAATTTTGATTTTTGTGTGTCAATACAGAAAAACTTGTATGAAACGGGAATATCACTGTTTTGCCACATAGAATAGCAAAATAATGTTATTCCCGTTTCATGTTAGTGTTTCTCGTGTCAATGATCATGAAATTGTACATTGACATGCTCTGCAGCTCCATGTTAATCATTGGAGATTTTCTATGACAATAATATAATATGGATGCGTCACCAGCTGATTTGATACATATGGAATCAAAGTCCGAAGAGATTTTTGTACACACAGAAGATCATTCTGTGAAAAAGTAAAACACATCGAGACTGTGACATTACAAGTTTTAGTCCTACAAATTTTCCTTGGAAGAACACACATCTCTCTAAGACGGATTAATAAAAGAGTATGTGATCACCAATGTTGCCCCTTCTCCCACACTCAAATCCTAATTAGAAATCCCTCACTTTCCTCTCACTTGGGAGTAAAAGCCTGTTGCAAACACAACCAAAACAATCAAATGTTAGCCTCTAATTAAGCACCTGTAAATAGGTTTAACTCTAATTGAGTTGTACTAATTGCACTTACAGCAAAGATGGTGGCATGGCCAGGATCAGCAAGGTGAGCAAAGAGGTTGTCAATTGGGCCAGTGCCAGTGTAAATGTGTTGGAACCAAGCCCCCATCACAGCCAACATAGCCAGCCTCCCATTCTTAATCTCCTTTGTCCTCAGCTCCTTGATCTTTTCAGGTGAACCACTTCCCCATCCAAGTGGGTCAAACCAAAGCCCGCCTGGGTACCCAACATCCGTCCCGGTGAGCTTGTTGTTGGGGAAGATCGGGTCGGTGTTAACAGACCCGGGCTTGAGGATGTCGGCCCATCTCCTGCCCTCGGCCCACCCAATCAAAAGCAGCTCAACAACAAACAGAGTGGTGGTGTCTGTGAAGTACTCTTGTTCTCCAGCTGTGTACCATGAAGGGGTGTTTAGAATGCCAATTTTGGTCAAGAATTCTGGGATGAAGATGCCAGCTGCACCTAACATAGCCCATCTGCAGTGTACAAGTTCTGCTTGCTGGTTCCATCTCAAGCTGTCAGGGTCAGATGCTGTTACAATACAACAAAGATTAGTCACAATTGAAGATTATGTGTTCATAAGGTTTATTAATATTTGATGTTTGACTTACAAAGACCAAGGGGATCAAAACCAAAGTCTCCTGGGAGGCTGCATTATCATAGCATAAACACTTGATCAGAAACTAGCAAATCAAAGGATATAAACTACAGGGAGAAGAGTATATATGGAGTAACAGACATGTACTTATGTTGCGCGACTGTGAATATAGACCACATATTTAGACAAACGTCAACCTGATTGATGGTCTAGATTCACATACTCGCAACATAAATATGTTATGTTGATCGACAATTTAATCAGAGAACATGATATTACTAAATATTTCGAACTGACCTTCCATCGAGCCATGGAGGAGGGGTGCTGCCTGGGAACCACAAGGGTCTATCAGGGTCAGCTGCAGCAGCACGTACCGTGAAAGATGTTGATGATCCAGAGGATGCTGTCAAGTTCCTCACTCTGAGCTTCCTCCCACCAAAGAAAGAAGCCCTTGTTGCTGCCAAAGTAGACCCAGCCTTCTGGGAGCTGCAGTATGATTTATGTCTTTCTTGTATTAATTAATTAAACAATGCAAACTAAAACAGTCCAAATTCCACTAAACCCTAATATTATATTATTAAAGTTTGCATGTAGCACTGCTTTGAGAACTTGCCTGGGAGAGGATATGGCAACGGCTGCAATGGCAGAAGAAGAAGCCCAAGCGGAAGCCATTCGGAACTTGAGGCTTTGTAACCAAATTTGCTTTGTTTGTTTGATCAGTGAAATTGTATGTGGCAATGGCCTAGAGATGTGAATGTGTTGCTAATGTAAGAATTGAAGGGGCTTATCTTAAAGGATAGGAGAGAGGTATCCGATTGGCTTTTGGGCTGCCATGTGGCATGTAGAATCTGATACTGGGCCCCAGTGAACCCTCCTCCTCCAGTTGTTGAGCTTACCTGGAATAATCACAGACTGGTGGTTCACATTACAAGTCAGAATGACCCATATATCTAACAACTGATTGCAACCAATGAGGCCATGTTATAAGGGGACCCTATAGATTTCTGATATACTCATACAAGGTAAGGATTTTTTATCCAATGTAATCTGTGTGAATACAATTCTTCTTCAAGTTTCATATTATTCTCACCCAAACCTAAAAGCCTAAATATGCTCTTAATCATACACTTTTCTACTGATTCTTTTAATCCAAGTTTCGTATAGATGTCACATTAGTGTCTCATTATTAACTTTTAGAACTCATTTGGTAACCGTATTGGACCGTACTAGACCGCGTAGTTGTCTTAAAACGAATTCGCTTGTATTGTAATGTACAAGAGTTTGTAATGCTTTTTAGTACATTAACATTTTCGGAGTTTAGAATTTGATATATGGAGTTCTAGGTTTGAATTTTAACTTCTTCTTTTTTTTTTCACATAGGACATGTCATGGTCAGTTACATTACATATAGGTTTCACTTACATATAGGTCTCAGCCGAAAAGAAGAAAAAGAACATGATATTGCTGTGTGGGCTTATTTAAGAAAACCCAAAAACAAACTTCTCAGATGGATTTCAGACCTTCCATCACAAAGAAGCTCAGTTGAGATTCGTTGGGCCAGGACCAAGTGTTCAACCAAGCTTACAAAATCAAAGGAAGGGATGGTAGGACCTGAAGTTGAAGTAGCTTTAAAATGGACTTGAAGAATAATGCAAACAGCTGAGCCCAAGCAAAAAGGGTAAAAGCCGCTTTAAAATGAATCACTTTTATTCCCTGTCCTTTTGGCACTTTGGGGAAAGAGTGTTGGTTACTCAAGTAATCAACACAAACCAACTGTAAAAAATCATTAGGGAAGAAAGGGAAAGAACCCAAATGATCCAACTGCAGCTAGATCAAACCCAAAACATTCAATAATTTCAGTGGAGAAGTCAAATTATGTGGATTAAAGCACAAAAGTTTTGACTTTTGACAGCATATGGCAACTCACACCCAGATATGCAATGGAAGAGTAAATCTGTAAATGGCTTCTCTTCTCCACCCACAATGATGAAAACTTTTCAATGATGCAAGGATAAAAAGTTTTTTTTTTAAATAAAAAAAAACCCATGTATCAATCAAGGTTTACTGAGACATAATTATCCAAAAATTCACCCCATCAGATAAAGCAACCGACCAGGAAATCTAGTTTGGTGGAAATAAGCCTTTTAAGGAAGCAAATGGTGGTTAGCAGATTTGGGTTAACGTAATTAGTGATTGTTTTGAGGTCTGCCAACAACATCAAAGCATGTTTGATATAAAAAAAGGATTTATCGTCCAATCCAGTTTAAGAGCTTAAGCCAAATCTTTATGTTCTCCTTCACTTTGGATTCCTTCTCTATGATTTTTCCATGCAACCATGTGCTGGCTATTACCAATGCAATTATGTCTCTCAAGAAATTATAGCATATAAAAACGGTGTCGTAATTATGTCCCGTAGAATAATTATATAACATTACAAAACCACAAATAATTATAAACTTTGATTGGCATACAATTCTACTTATATATATCTCTCTCTCTCATCCTTTTTTTCATATTGTTTTGTTAATTGCGGGGTCAACAAGCGAAGACGCAGTCCTATGAATCATTGTATTTGGTTGACGAGTGTGAATTAGAAAGTAAATAATTAAAAAAAAACCAAGTCTCAGAGAGAGTTATTGTTCTGAAAGTACTAAAATGATGCACCTGCGAAAAGCTAATTATATTATTGTGTCGGATTTTATATCTGAATTGGACCCAAATAATATCATGCTGCTTCACAATTTATGTTCACACCAGTCATCATGCAGTCACATGCATTTGCTATCGGTGATGAATTTAGTTTCAAGGATTGTGATTAATGGTGGGGGCAAATCCGACGCCAATAATGACCCTGTTTTTTAGCTGGATAGTGCATTGCAAGGTAGTATAATTCATGGTGGTAATTAAACTGGTAATCACCACATAATTGTGTTTTGGCAGATCAAAAACC